GAGGCAAAGATCAGAAGTTTCACAGTTCAAGGCCAGCCCAGATGAATAGTTCGAAAGACCCTATCTTGAAAAGCCCTTCACAAAAAAAGAGTGCTGGGGAGTGGCTCAAGATATAGGCCCTGAGTTCAAACCCCAGTATTGCAAAAATAAATAAATAAATAAATAAATAAATAAAATATCCAACACACAAAAAAGGCTGGAGGAGTGGCTCAAGTGGTAGAGCTCCTGCCTACCAAGCATGAGGTCCAGAGTTCAAACCCCAGTACCACAAAAAAAAAAAGAAAAAAAACAAACAAACAAACCAAAAATAAACTAGACATTGTGGTCTCCTGAATCTGTGCTATATGGGTTTTTTTTGTTGTTGTTGTTTGAGACAGGGCCTAAGAAGCTGAGCTGGTCTCCAACTCCCAATTCTCCTGCTTCAGCCTCCTGAGTCCTGGGATTATAGCCTTGCCCCAGCACACCCAGCTTAAAATTCATTTTGATGCATTCTTCCCCAAAACATAGGGGAAAAAACGAAGTGATTCAAGTCTTTGGATTTCACATAAAATGTTCAGGAAATGCAGACTAAAGAGAGAGAAGTTAAATTTCTGTCTCTACTAAATGACAAAATGAGGAGGCAAACAGACAAACCTTGACTGTGGAACATCTCTCAGGACAACTGGCCTGGTTTCTGAAAAAAAGTCACTATCATGTGGAAAGAAAGGGTCCGTGTGGGAGGAAGGAGAGATATAGTAGCGTATGTTAAGACTTAAAGGCTGTAACACCAGCAACAACAAAACAGTTTTCAAAGAACCATCCTTGCCTAGCGCCAGTGGCTCACTACTGTAATCCTAGCCACTCGGGAGGCAGAGATCAGGAAGACTGTGGTTCAAAGCCAGCCCAGGCAAATAGTTTGTGAAACCTTAGCTTGAAAAAAAAAAAAAAATCACAAAAAAGCGCTGGCAGAGTGGCTCAAGTGGTAAGAGCACCTGCCTAGCCAGCATGAAGCCCTGAGTTCAAATCCCAGTGCTGCCAAAAAAATAAATAGGAATCATCCTTTTTGGGAAGTGGCCAATAACCATATGTTTTTTAAAAGCATTTTTTAAAGAGCCATACAACCACATACAATGAGTGTACCTTTTTTGGATCCAGATTTAGACAAATTAGCTGGAGTTTTATTGTTGCTTGGTGTGTTTGTTTATGACAGGATCTTGCCATGTAGCCTAGGTTGACCTTGAACTGTCAATCCTCTTATCTCAACCTCCTGAGTGCTAGGATTTTTTTTTTTTTTTTTTTTTTGGTACTGGGGCTTGAACTCAGGGCCTCATGCTTACTAGGTTGGTGCTCTACACTTGAGCCACTCCACCAGTCCTATTTTTGTATTTTTTTTTCAAGATAGGTTCTCCCTTGGGTTGGCTTTAAACCTTGATCCTCCTGATCTCTGCCTCTGGAGTAGCAAGGATTACAGGTGTGAGCCACTGGCACCCAGCATTTTTTAAAAAAGACTTTCTTTTAGACAATCAGAAATTTTAACATGAACTGAATATTATGTAATACTTATTCGGGGGTTAGGTATTATATTGCCATTGTAATTATGTAAGAAGTTATCATTTTTAAAAGCATAATGAAGTATTCAGAGTAAACAGACAGTAATGTCTAGGAGTCATTCCCAGTACTCAAGGGTAAGGCAAGAGGAGCTTGAGTTCCAGACCAGACTGGGCTACATAACAAGTTCAAGGTCAGCCTGAGCTACATAGTAAGACCTTGTCTTTTTTTAATTTTACCTTTTTATTATTATTGGTGCACTGGGGGTACATTGTAACATTTACCAATGTTCTTACAGTGAGCCCTTTCTTTAAAAAAAAGAAAAAAAGTTGAGCTCTTTGTGACTCATACCTGTAATCCTAGCTCCTTGAGTCTTTTTTTTTTTTTTTTTTGATGGCTCTGGGGTTTGAACTCAGGACTTCATGCTTGCTGGGCAGGCATTCTTACCACCTGAGCCACTCTGCTAGCTAATCCTAGCTGCTTGGGCTGCAATTGGGAGAATCATGGTTCGAGGCTAGCCTGGACAAATAGTTCCAGATTCCCTTCTCCAAAAATAACCAGAGCAAAATGGACTGGAGGTGTAAGGTGTGACTCAAGTAGTAAAGTGCCTGCTTTGCAAGCACGACTCCTTGAGTTCAAACCCCAGTCCCACAAAAAAAAAAAAAGAAAAAGAAAAAAAGAGTAAGAAAAAATGTAAGGGTGACTGAAGCTTAGGTAATGGACCTGTGAGGGACTATTTTGTACCCTACTTTTGTATATGGTGGGAAATTTACGCTGAAAGTAATAAGAATGAAAAGGGATGATGTGCTATATAATGTGATATATTAAGATTTAATATTTTCTCTTTTTTTTTTTGGTGGGACTGAAATTATGGAGTCAGGGTAGAATGCTCAGGCATTCTACCATTTGAGTCACTGAGTCACACCTCAAGCCCTAATATTTTCAACTGAATACTCATTTGTTTTCATTTTTCTTTTTTTTTTTGGTGGTTGTTGTTGCTGTTGTTTGTTTTCGTTTTTGTTCTTTTGAGATAATCTTACTATGTAAGCCCAGGCTGGCTTCGAAAGCATGACCCTCCTGCTGCTGCCTCCCAAGTGCTGGCCTATATACATGTGCCACCACAGCCAGCTCATTTTTCTTTTTAATCTACATTTCCAGTTTGTCACCAAAGGGATGATGAGATCCTGGCAAACCATTCAATGTACTAAGCTTTCTCACACACTCTGAGAATGCCCAAGAAACTCTCCCTGAAGAGCAAGCTGTGTCATAGAGCATTAAGCAAGGAGCGATTAGGTAGGCATTCAGTGACAGAGAGAGTGGGGAACATCACTTAGATAATTTCATCTGTAAGTGCACATTCTGACCTGAATTGTGTAGTTTGGCTGTCTCAAAACTTTAAATGCTTTGATAGTTGTACATTTTTCTCTTTGCTTTGTACTGTTTAGACTCAGTTCAAACTGGAAAAGAAAAAAGAAGATTGCCTTTGAAATTGCTGGCACAGTGATGGGACATTCAGGCTGTTTTCAGGACAGTAGTCAAAATTCCAAGAAGAGCTGAGTGTGTCATGATGCTCTCTTGAACAAGAAAGACTAAAAAGGAGTCTGGCTTATAAGGGTTCAAAAGCCTTAAACATGAGATGGGGTGACTAGGAGAGAGCCCTGTGCCAAATGGGGTCACCACAGCTCTGGCTCTGGCTCTGAGGGTGGCCACAGGAATTGTGATTCATTTTCTGACTTGGTAGCTCTTATCTGAAGCTGTGTCATGTACTCTGCGTGACTTGCCTCCTGCCCTCCCCCATGTTGTCACTTACACTGCAAAGTCATAAGCATAAGCACAGCCTGTGGGTTTTCCTCCCTATTCACACTCAAACACAACCTCATCTGCTCCTCAGCAATGGTTGTTCTCAGTTGCCGACTGTAGTTCACATCAGATTCAAGAAAGACCAGCCCCAAACCACTTGGTCCTAGGCTTCGTTTAAAAGTCCAAACTCTGAATCTCAGAGAATGGTCAACCCTTCAGCAAACATTTTCTGGGAACTGACCCAGGGCAAAGTCCCGGATCCAGTGCTGTGGGCAATACCAGCTGCAGGTACTTACAAACTAGTAGAAAAAGAAAAGGCACATATAACTACCTACCTTGTGGAGGTAGTTATGATAGGAGAGGAAAATTAAAGGAAAAGCTAGTTATTACATGAGAAGAGTTGAAAAGGTGGGGAAATAACAAGCTCATCTCTGTAGAAAGTGGCATTTGAGCTTTATCTTAAAGAAAGGGTAAGCTTCCAATAAATAGATGGCTGGGGGAGGTTTCCAAGAAAATAAAATGCTTGTGGCTTGTCATGACAGGATGTGAGAAAGAAGTCCCTGCAGAATATCCTATACACAGGAGATTGTGGGAGATGGGGAGATGAGAAGGGAGGAGCGCTGAGACATAGCTCCACAGAGGACTCAAGAGAGGCTTTAAAAAGAGCTCAAGGACACAAATGCCTCCCTTTGCACTTCCTTGATTAACCTGAAGTGCTCACTCCAGGTAAACAGTGACATGCTAATCAGTGAAATCTTATTTTTGATGTTACCTTTTCTTCTTTTATTTTTAACTGTTTGGCCCTGGACATCAGCAGAGGCTTAAAGTAGTTCCCATGGCTTTGCTCTAGTGCCTGAAATACCTCCTCTACCTGGACTCAAGCCTGTGCCCCAGATGGTCCATATTAAAAATGAGTAACAGACGGGCACTGGTGGCTCACGCCTGTATATATATAGCTACACAGGAGGCAGAGATCGGGAGGATCGAAGTTCAAAGCCAGCCAGGGCAAATAGTTGGAGAGACCCTATCTCAAAACAAAACAAAATCACAAAAAAAAAAAAAAAAAAAAAAAGGCTGGCAGGGTAGCTCTAAGTGTAGGCCCTGAGTTCAAGTTGCACTACAGCAAAAAAAAATAATAATAATAATTACCAGAGGAATGGGCTTGCATTCTAACCCCCTTAGTGGGCTGGACTTGGACCTTAGTTACCATCACCTAGTGAAGACTGAGTCAAGATGGTGGAGGCAAAGGTTTGTCCAGAAGAAAAGACAAGGAGGATTCTGAAACTCCAGTGCTCTCTGGAACACAGAGGTAGTTGGTGCAAGTGTCCATGTGTCCTCCTTAATCACAGAGCTTCCAGACCTCCCCGGGAAGAAGAGAAAATCAGATGTCCTTGCCTGACCCCACACTGACCGACCACAGGACTGAGGAGGCATTCTTGACCAAGGGCTAACAGGACAGAGTCAGAGCCTGAGTCTTATTCTCCCAGCTCTCTCTGCCTGAATTCCACCTGCTACTGACATCTCCTCTGTCTCTTCCAATTGTCCCTGTCCTTTCCTTATTTACCCCTCCCTCCCTCTACCCCTTTCTTCTCTTCCTCCTCTCCCATGTGCTGACATTGCTCCATGAAGTTCTCCAAACCTTAAATCCTTAAACTTTCATTTTCTTCCACCAGGGGTCGGCTTTGTTTCTTTTTTCCGAGGCTGATGAGGCTCCCAGACTGCCAGCGATCTAGTCCACAATCATCCCTTTTTGGAGGTATAGGATGGCCTGGTCAGGCCACAGGCCAGATGGGTCGGAGTTATGCCAATGGAGAAGGGCAGGGAGTCGTCAAGGATGAAGATGCCACCAAAAATGTCCGTTCTCCGCCTCATATGAGATATTTGAATTGAATCAAGTCAAGCGGGTTGGGGATCTCAGGAAATGTTGGGGGACGGGAGAGATCCCGGCACTGAGACTGCCAGGCAAATGCTTGGGAGACACCGCACAGTGGCTGAGGCGGTGGTCCAGGATAGCACACAGAAGACAGGCTTCAGGTTGCGCCCATTTCCGGGCAGACTGAGGCGCAGAGACCCATCATCCTGTGGGTCGCAGGCCAGGAGTGGGCGGAGAAAGGGCCTGAACTCCTTAGCCTTGATAGTTTAGGCCAGATACTCAGAGGCCAAGGTCTGTGCCTCACACCTGCCCTCCCATGTACAAGGAGCAAGCAGCCACAGCCTACTTTCCTGTGAAGCCAGGAGCGGGCATTCATCTCTAAAGGCCCTTTTTTCTTGTCTTTCTTCCTGTTTGTTTCTTCCAATTTGTATCCCTCTGGCTGCAAACCAAGAGAGGCGCCCAAATATAAAAGTCAAGTCAAATTAAAAGCGTATTATTGCTTGTGCGCTCCCAACGCCCCCCCACCTCTTTTAAATTGTGTTTCAAAACAACATGGTGACTTTTGGACAAGATTTTTCTATTTCGCCCACACCACAATAGAGATGCAATGAATGCGGCTGGTGAAATGTTTGGCTGTGTCAAATTCAGTCCCGAAGGCTGGCTTGGGCCAGCACTGGGGCTCCGATTTGTGTTATGTTCACGGAGAAGATATTAATTAAAAGAAATACATGATTAAAAAGTAATGAGTTGAATAAAAATTATCTCAGCTCATTTTCTGATTATGTTAATTGTTAAAAACCCTTCAATCACGCCGTTGCAGTCAATGGGCTTTAATGTGAAATTAGTGGGCTCTTGATAACTTACAGTCCAGAATAATCCTGGCGGTTTAGTCATCATTCCTAATAACAAGGATGTTGCTAAGAACAGAAATTTTACATGATTTTGATACATTTCAGCCCTTCCCCCCATGTGTCATTAAAAAAAAAAAAAAAAAAACCCTTAGCTTGCTGGCGATTTCCAACTCTTCCATGCACAGATCCACCGCGGCCTGGGCAGGTCTTGCGTTTGCGTTGCGTTTCCTCACCCGTGCGTCCTCAAGGTGATGGCTGCAGGGTCCCTGGTCCAGCGGCCCGAGCCTTTGGGATAACGAGCGCTCAACTCCCCTCCCGGCGACGCCATAGTGCCAATCTGCATCCTAGGCTGTGCCCCGGAGTTGATGAGGGGAGAGAACAGAATTCGCAGCAACCAGGCTGGAGCGGCCGCTCGGGAACTGGTCGCCAAGCGCCGGGCGAATCTGGCTGGGCGTTCACGCACCTAGACGGTCACTGTGCGCCCCGAGGGGCGCAGCGCTTGGGCAGGTCTAAGTGGGCACATGGGTGGTGGTGGTGCGCGTACGCCTGCCGTTTGCCTTGGATCTCGAAAACCCATCAGAGGCGCTGGAAGACAGAGGGTCAAGCGAGTCAGGGAAAATGTCCCCAAGCGTGGCCTGTGCCTCTGAAACAGTGCCTCGTGCAGAGTTGGTTGAAAATCGAACATGATTCTGATGCGTGTGGACGGTCGGGTGTTCTCAGCAGTCCCTGGCCCTCGTGGGGGAGCCCTGAAAGGTCCCACCCTACCTGGGACCAAACTCAGAGCCGAGGTGCGGGGAAAGGGGACAAGTGGTAATACTCTGGTAGAAGGTGAAGAGGATGCTTCCTATCCCCTTTGGACTGTTCACTCTTAGCGAGCAAAAGCCTCGCTGTCCTTTTGGCTTCTAGAGAAGAAGTGTCCTTCAAGTTGGGCCTGAGAGGCTAATGTGAGGAGGAGGGTTGTGGAGTCCCCAATCTTGGATGTGTGTGGGCAATGGACTGTGGCCAGAGGGATGGGCTCCGGTCTCAGTGCACCTGGTGCTGAAAGTCTATGAGCCCCAAAACTTCCCATTAGAGGGCTTTTGACATCTTGGCCAACCACCACCCACAGACCAAGTAGAGTTGAAGACTCAAGTCCTATTTTTCTCCCAGGAGAAGTAGGTAGGGAAATTCCACTTACCAGAGTCTAATTGCCTGAAATTATACATACGTACATACCGATGTACATACATACATACACAGACATCTAGAGACCCTGGTGTGTGGCAGTCCATAAGTGATGGTGAGCTGGAGGACGTCCATGTGTGTGCTATAGACTTAATCCTAGGGCATGAGATGTCTCACAGTACCTTTTTCAAAGCGTTTACCTTTAAGGCTGTCTGGATTGGGTGGAGGAGCCAGGTTCTGGTGGTTCTTAATTTGTTTTTCTGACGACTTCAAAAGGGCAATTTTCTAAGGCTTTTTCAAAAATATGTTTTCACCTTCTCAAGCCCAAACAGTGAGCACTCTTCCCTGGGGATTGAGGGTGAGGGAGAAGGGCACAAGTCCCAAGGCTAATTCTCCTTGTTCAACTCTATTTGCATCCGCTGTTAGGCTGAGGATCATTTTAATAAATAACAATGCGCAGGAATGGCATCTGAGGGCTTGTCGGCAACATTTAAAGCCAATAGAGTTCATAATTCTACTCTATCATTTCTTATTGATTAGAGTAATCAAGATAAAAAGCTAGCCGGGCTCAGAGAACTTCAGCAGCATATCATTAAAGATAAGAGTCAGTTAATTCTGGAGCTGGGGTAATGTGGCTGAAATGAAGAGTTCATTTGCATGAGATGCTGAGCCCAGTAACAAGGGGACAAAAATCACTAATTAGGATTGCAGAGTATCGCCCTCTCTGCAAGCACCCTTTGCAGACCGCGGACCAAGTGTAGATTCCGTTTATGTAAATCTGGGGCAGGATTGAAAGCTCCCACTGGCTTTGTAGACGGCGATTATCACCGCACCCTTTACACCATCCCCCTTGCCCCGGTTACCCAACCTGGGCAAGGATGGGGTTACGGGGGCGGGGGGCGAGGGGTCGTCGGATCTCCTTTCCCTGCGCATCCCAGCCCCCACTCCTACAGCCCGGGAGGGCGTCCTGCTCCCCGCTTAAGGGGGGGGGGGTATGTGGGCGAGTACTTGGTGATACCTTCGTAAGTCCCACCGCATAGTCCCTGCCACGGACTCTGGTCGGGTCCTTTAGGCCCCTGGACAGACCCAACTCAGGGCAGCGTCCTGGGGGGGATGGGAGGTGGGGAGAGGAGAGTGAGTGCCGCTTGGCCTCAGGGAAGTTCGGGGCACTTGCCTCCGTTGATCCCCAGACGAGGCCCAAATCCCCAAACCAAAGTCTGTGACCACCCCCCGCCCCACACACACACACCCGGATGATTTCCTCTAGTCCGCTCGGCCTGATCTGCCATTCCAGACAGCGCTAGTCCGTGGGTGCGCAAGGGCGCGTGCTTGTGCACTACCAGAGCGCGCAGGGGTGTGCACGCGCGGAGTGCGGCTGTGTGTGCAGGAATGTGTGTGTGTGTACGAGTGAGTCCAGCGCTTCCATAAGTATGAACGTTTGTAAGCTTGCTGCTGCGTGGAAGTGCTTTTTTCTGCAGGCGAGTACACAAGTGTGTGAATGGGATGTGGTGGATGGAACACACACGTGTAATACGGTGTATGTGGAGGGTGATGAGAGTATGGCGCGAAGGGGATGTGACAGGCCGAGGAGGATCCCTAGAGGAAGAAACCCAGCAGGCTTCATGGGTGGGTTTGGGTGCCCAGCAGCCGCACCCTTGGACCGCAGGGGTTGGGCGAGGTGACAAAGGAAGCGCCCCTGCCGCGCGCAGCCCATCCCCATAGCCCGGCGACCGGCTGGGAAAAGCAGCCTCACCTCGGCCGCGGGTTCCCTCGACCTGTCCCGGGAAAATGAAAGTGGTCACAAAGGCACCTCGGGACGGGCTTTAACAGAACAAGAGCAGTAGACGCGGGAAGGCCGCTGCCTAGCCAGAGCAGCGAGCTCACACGGCGACACTGGCCGCTTGTCCGCCCAGGCGCTTGGGGCTTGAGGTCCTCCGCGGCCCTCCCAAGTCCGATGCGCGGAGCGACTCAGCGCGGACCCGCGTCCAAGAGCGCCAGCGCCACCGCGACCTCGAAGTTCCTCCTGGAAGGACGGGAAGAGGGGCACGCGGTCGGGGCGACCCCTCCCGGAGACGCGGCGGCCGCTCCCGTTCGCCATCGGCCTCGTGAGAACTGAGTCTACCCATCGCTCGCCAGGCCTGTGTCAGATCCCAGTGGCTGTCGGGCGTGGCAAGTGGCAGTGCTCGCCCACTCCCGCAGGTCTCGCTGCGTCCACCCCCGCCGCTCCGCGGACCGCTGGCCCCCCCCAACCCCACCACAGCTCGGGACCACAGCTCCCTGCAACACACGTGGGCTTCGCGGACCCAGGCCGCGGCCCACCGACCTGTGCCACGCGCACCGCGCACTTGCGCCCGCGCGGACTGAGCCACCGCAGCGTGCGGGGGTCGCGTTGCGGGGGAAGCGCCGAGGGGACGCGGGGCACAGCGGCTGGACCAGGGCGCGCCAGGGCCGGCGGCCCGGCCGGGAGCGGGGGATACCCGGGAGGGGTGCGCTTCTTTAGCGTCCACACCCCGCCCCCATCCAGGGACTTTTTTGTGTCGGTACACAGCTGGGGGCCCCCTCACCACCCACCCCTGGGCCTCCCCATACAGAATAAAGTCAGTCTGTATTTAATGGTTATGGCGGATGTGAGGGGGATTTGGCAGAGGTAGAAGAGAGAGGCCTTTGGCTCTCAAATATCGCTCCTTACGTCGTGTGAGTCTACCAACCCACCACGACCCCATATTCTTGTGCGGGTGTCTGACTCGAATGACAAGCGAGCTGATTTTTTCAGTACATAGCTGGGAAATGTAGTGAGTGATAATAGAGATTTCTCTTTCATTTTTTACGCTTGACTTGGTTATTGTTGCTTTTCTTTTCCCGTGATTCCTTCTGAGGATTAGCTCTGACTTCCCCACTATTGGCGGTCAAAGTGGCCCCGACTCGGGATGACAATTGACGGGGATCAAGGGATTGCCCATTCTGTGCCTGTAAGAACGGATTCGTGCCAGAGAAACTCATCAAGTGGAGGCGGAGAATAAAGACCGTTCGGGGGTAAATGTATTCATTGAGAAGGGTTCTCCCAAATTGCTTCTAAGTTTTTTTAATGAAAAGTAACGATTGCAGCAATCAGCGGCTTTTTGGCGGATTACAAATCTGGAGGGAGCTGCGGCGCTGCATTGAAAAGTGCCCCCGCCTTCGCACGGGGCAGCCAGTTCACAGGAGCAGCTCGAGGGGTTGGGGTCCCGTCGCAAGACAAAGGCCGGGAGGGGGCGAGCTGATGGTGCCCCTCCCGGGCGCGCCCCGGGAAGAGGGCGCGGAGGGGTCCGCCTTGGCGCAGGCGTGGCGGAGAACCCTATCCTCTCCACTGGGTGAATTCCGGGCACCCGGAACGAGGAGGGTGCGCGAGAGGCCAGTGGAAGTTTCCCCGCTTGGTCCCGCCCTCGTCCCCTCTCCTTGCATTTTAGTCTTTTTTAGGAAAAGTCTAATTTTGCATCCGGTGCATGGAAAACCTGTTCTGCTGGAATGGTTTTCCATGGGGGTGACAAGCAGAAGGAGGGAAAGTTGGGTTCCCACCCTCCCTTGGACTGTGGCAGGCCATCTGCACCGAGGATCGAACTGATCAAATGCTTCCTTCAAATGGCGCGCGCCAGTCCCCTGTACCTCGCGCG